TTTCTAGGGTCAACCAGGATGCTACAATCGGCTTACCATCGAAACGGATAAATAAATCCTAAACAGACTGGCTGTATATATGGAAGACATTGACAATAGCATTGAGGTGGGAAAGGGAGGAGAGCGGGTCGGGGAAGGGGGAGGACCACAGAGCGGGTTCATCCTCTCAACACATCAAAATTTTGAAAACCCCGTAAGACTGCGAAAATTTGAACGCACTCATAACTATACGCATAATATTTGGTTCGGAATTGATTTGATCCAACAACATTTCACATCGTTTTCGAATTCCCCTTGCCAACATGATCAAACCATGCCCACGAACAGATTCTTCATCCGACGAAAGATCAGTTAAAATATCTTGAAGCGAGATTTTCGCATCGCGCTCCGCAATCTTCGCTTTCTTATCGAAACTCGCCCTGAAAATATCAATTTAAGAAATGCTAACTGATCATCTCTGAGAAAAATTAGATCATTTAGTAATATCTTTGGGACTATTTTGTCATTTTGATAAGTACAAAACCGAATATGTGAAAATCAACAATTCCACAGAACATAAAATTCTCGTGTATGGGACGAAAAAAAAATCAAGACAAAACTCCCCTCATGCTTCATCTTCAGCGTAAAAGGTGGAAAAGAATCGCAAGTACAAGGAGCTAACTCTCTCATCAAATCAGCTAACAGTTCAATCTTTCCGAAAAAAAAATTGCTTAAAATAAGCAAGGTGAAAATGGTTCAAAAAAAGGAACATTTTCAAATTTTGTTTTTTAATTTAAATTCACATTTTTTAAAAAGAAAAAGAAATATTTAAGAATAGGAAAAAGGAAAGAGAAAACAAAAGCACAGGAAGGAAACAAACCGAATACTTTCGTTTGATAATTTTTCAATTTCAGTGCTTTTGCTGGGGCAGTTTTTCATCAATTTATCAAGTAGCGCACTGGCCATTGCAATAATTTTTTCATAAGGCTTCATTTCATCCTCCGTCAGCTTTTTGACAGCACCGGTGAAAGCTAACAGTGACGTGATTGCTCGCTTGACCTGTGACTGAAATTTGAAAGAATGAACCAACAGAGAGATAAATCTGTCACGAATGCTACCTTTTTTTGCAGAATATATATATATATAGACAGAATTCAATTGCCTACTTTCACTATATTGCGACTGAAAAAATCAGAACACTATGGTCACTACTCGATCTTTGTGCTCCACATCAAGCAGATGGAGCTTTTGAATCTATATGTACGGCAACCAATACATACATACAAACATACATACATACATACATGCATACATACACACATACATACATACATACATACATACATACATACATACATACATACATATATACATATATGTATATGCACATATAAATAAGTATATATATGCATATATGTATACTTTAAAGTGTCTAACTGCAAGCAGCGTACAATTTTTATTTCAATTACTACCAGTTTTCGCGAGTAATCGCAACAGATACTGCCTTCAACACGGACCACCAGTTCACAATGCATCCTTTTTCAAAATTCATTAAATGATTTACAATGAAAATATTTGCTAAATATCTATCAAAAACGCCAGAGGAAACCAAATTCCACTCGCATCAATGAGA